GTTCGTCTTCTGCTGCCAACCACAGATACTAGGCCCTTTGCCCATTCCCCAAACCACATGAGAGCCACTGTCCCATGGGGCTTCCATGGGGCTGGGATAATGTTCAAGTGACCCAAACACATAGACATGGACGGACGCCATAGTGACTTTAGCTTCCTATGGAGTTTCTGAACAGTACTCACACACTGTCCAGCTATGCCATGTTTAAAACTGCTTTTAATACTTCCTTCATTTTCAAATGTGATTTGCTCAGTGGCCCAGGAGGTCTCGGGTGAGAAACACTGGACCAGAGGTTATGAGCACAAAGTGCTGTTTTGTAGCCATGCCAGGTATACTGAAGCAGAAAGAAAGAGGGTGCAACTCCACAAAGGGCTGATGCAGGAATATATACTGATGCTTCAAAAGTAATTACTATCCACCTTTATGGAAAACTGGAGACTACAGGATAAATCTCTACAAGAAAATGTGATACTTAATTTTCTTATTTTAAAAAATCCTACGAGACTGTATTTGAGGACTTGGAAGGAGAGGGAGAGAGCGAGTGAGGAACAAGGCAAGACAGATAGAAATAGCCAGAATCTAGTACTAAAAGAGTACTAGAAATGATTGGAGAATTTGGTCATGTGGCAGGGTTTAAGTTGAACAAATCAAAAACTAAAGTTCTTGAGAAAAATTTAACACCAATTGAGAAGGAGAGGTTTCAGAATGAGACAGGTTTAACATTGGTTAAGAAAGTGAAATACCTGGGGATTAACATGACAGCTAAAAATGGGAATTTATTTAAGGACAACTATGAAAAATGCTGGTCAGAAGTGAAAAAGGACCTAGAAATATGGTCAAATTTGAAGCTTTCCTTGTTGGGTCGAATTGCGGCTATAAAGATGAATGTATTGCCAAGAATGTTATTTTTGTTTCAATCACTACAAGTTTTGGACAAAATGGACTGTTTCAAGAAGTGGCAGAGAGATATTTCTAGATTTGCCTGGCAGGGCAAGAAGCCCAGAATAAAATTTAAAATATTAACTGATGCAAAGGAAAGAGGTGGATTTGCCCTGCCAGACCTTAAACTTTATTATGAATCAGCAGCATTCTGCTGGTTAAAAGAGTGGCTGCTTCTCGAGAACACAGACATTTTGGATTTAGAAGGTTTTAATAATGTTTTTGGGTGGCATGCATATTTGTGGTATGACAAGGTTAAAGCACACAAAGCATTTAAAAACCATATTGTCAGGAAAGCATTGTTTAGTGTCTGGATAAGGTATAAAGACTTACTTGAGAACAAAACCCCAAGCTGGTTGTCACCGATGGAAGCAAAGGCTCAGAAAAAGCTCAATATGGAGGCCAAGTGGCCGAAATATTGGGAAATTTTGGAGCAAGAAGGAGACATATTGAAACTGCAGAGTTTTGAGAAATTAAAAGACAAAGTGCAAGACTGGCTTCATTATTATCAAATAAGAAAGGTTTATAATTTGGATAAAAAAATTGGCTTCCAGGTGGAAAAGTCAAAATTAGAAATGGAACTGTTAGATCCCAAAACTAAGATACTTTCAAGAATGTATAACTTGCTGTTAAAATGGAACACTCAGGATGAAACGGTTAAATCTGCTATGATTAAACGGGCACAGGACTTTGGACATAACATTATGTTTGCTGACTGGGAACAGTTGTGGACCACAGGTATGAAATGCAATGCCTTAAGAGAGAATATTATGAAAATGATTTACAGGTGGTACATGACACCAGTCAAGCTTGCAAAAATCTATCATTTGCCCGATAATAAATGTCGGAAATGTAAAGAAACTGAAGGTACATTCTTTCACCTTTGGTGGACGTGCCCAAAGATTAAGGCTTTCTGGGAGAGGATCTATAATGAAATGAAAAAGGTATTTAAATATACCTTCTCGAAGAAACCAGAGGCCTTTCTCTTGGGCATAGTCGGCCAATTGGTGCCAAAGAAGGATAGAACTTTCTTTATGTATGCAACAACAACAGCAAGAATACTCATCGCGAAATATTGGAAGACACAAGATTTACCCACACTGGAAGAGTGGCAGACGAAGGTGATCGAGTATATGGAATTGGCAGAAATGACTGGCAGAATCCGAGACCAGGGAGAAGAGTTGGTGGAAGAAGACTGGAAGAAATTTAAAGACTATTTGCAGAAATACTGTAAAATTAATGAATGCTAAAATGATGTTGGATTGAAAATAAGTGGTATTGGTATTAAGATTAACAAGAACATGCAAATATGGATTGATAATGGATGAAAATATATAGTTATAAGAAGTTAAGATATAGAGTAAAGATGGTTGAAAGAGGGTAAGGATTTGCTGAAATGTCTTTGTGAATGGGAATACAAAAAGGGGAGGTGAGAGGAGGTCAAGGAAACAAGTAAATGAGTCTAAAGATATTGAAAAATGGATGTTTTTTCTTTTTAAATTTCTTTTTCAGCTGCATGTTTTTTGTATGTTGTACCCTTTTTATTCTTTTTTCTATGTGTGTGTTTTTTTAGTTTGTTAATTGTTGTTATAATTTTAGTTTGTTAATTGTTGTTATAATTTTCTCTATTTTGTAAACTCATGTTTTCTTTTTTGTAAAATTTGAATAAATATCTTTAAAAAAAAGAAAGAAATAGAGAAACCGCTAGTAGTGTCTCTTTCAAGATTTTTGTCAGCTCAAAGGTTCACTTCTGGTTCCTGCCCTGAGACCACACACAGACTAGAAACATCCCTGATCCACATATCCAGACTTGCACATGAACTTACGGTAAGTATGCACAGTCCAAGCACAGAGAGATTTATTCTGCTGAGCTGCGTGATAAATTGCTAATGGACCAAGGCACAGATTCATATAGCATAGCAAACAAGTACAGTGGTACCTCTGGTTACGTATTTAATTTGTTCCGGAGGTCCGTTCTTAACCTGAAACTGTTCTTAACCTGAAGCACCACTTTAGCTAATGGAGCCTCCGCGTGATTTCTGTTCTCATCCTGAAGCAAAGTTCTTAACCCGAGGTACTACTTCCAGGTTAGCGGAGTCTGTAACCTGAAGTGTTTGTAACCTAAAGCATCTGTAACCCAAGGTACCACTGTATATGTATTTGTGGCTGCAGAGGTGAACAATGGGAACCTGTCTCATTTTACCTAAGTCTTGGCACTAACACCTTCCAAGAGTGTAAATGACAACTATCCAGAGTGTAAATGACACACCACTGTGTCTCCAGTTACTATGGGCAAGGACACTGTGGTTCTCCTAAACAAAAAACATACCCGTATACGAGGGTCAGGGAACATTCCTATATGATACAATGGATGAACATTCTTGAGCTCTGTCTGCAATTAACAGCAGCCAAGTTGAAAGAAATCCACATAAATACAACCTTGCTGCTAAAAAGACTTCTGCTACAGACACACTTTCCCAGCTAAACACTTGCTGTGCAGCTCACTGTTGTTAGTTATAAATAAAAATGAATGGAGGGAGAAGTTTTGTACACTACAGTGGTACCTCGGGTTACATATGCTTCAGGTTACAGACTCCACTAACCCAGAAATAGTACCTTGGGTTAAGAACTTTGCTTCAGGATGAGAACAGAAATCGTGCTCCGGCGGCACGGCAGCAGCAGGAGGCCCCATTAGCGAAAGTGGTGCTTCAGGTTAAGAACGGACCTCTGGAACAAATTAAGTACGTGACCAGAGGTACCACTGTATTAGTGTTTTTAAAATCTTCAGAACTCAAAAGACATACAAAAGATCATCAGTTGCATCTGAGTAATTTCTGTCTCTTAGCTTTTTCCTGGTTCCTACTGCATCCCTTGGCCCTGTTTCACTTGCTTCCTTTGCTTCCCATACTATTTAATGTTTCGAGGAAAACATGCAATATGCAGATTCAAGGCTCTCCACTATAAGTCCTGCCTCCATTAGTGCTGCCAGGTAGGAGGGTAAATATCTGCAACATTACACTGTCTGAAAGTGAAGAACTCTGCAGGGTAAAATCTGGTTTAAAACTACTAAGCTGTAAATTATATATGACATTGTATTTTTAAAGCCCTGTTTTATGTATGCACACAAAGTGTGATGCATCTACAGTTATGTACTCATCATTTTTATGAATGTTATTTTATGAGTCATTTAGTGTGCATTTTGAACAGCTGGTTTTAAACTGTTGTGTTTTATTTCATAAGCTATGTTGAAGGAGGGTGGTTGTATATCCTATGAAGAAGAATTTAAATGGGAAATAAATAAGTAAGATAAGATAAGGTACCATGTGGTTGCTTTGAATGAAGCACTTCAAAATTGTAAAAATATAAAAGCTGCAGCACACAGATAAACATGTAAAATTTGAAATAATATGTGATCCACATCTACCTGTCACAAGCAATGCCATGAAATTCCTATGGGGATTTTGAGATGGATAATGAAATCAAGGAGACTGCAGTAATGGAAGACTTCAATTACTCCAATATAGTCACAACACAGAGATTTTTTTATTTTTAAGATACCCTAAATGATTGTACCCAGAACTTTTGGTGATGGAACTGGCCAAGTAGGTGCACGTGTGTCAGGGTGGAGCACACAATCCTGGACTTAAGTGGTGTCCGGAACCTGGTGTGAGATTTAAGCGTTGTTGTACCAACCGGGAACAGTGACTATGCGCTATCAAATGCAACATGTATGAAAGTGGACATTTGCTGGGAAGGTCAAACATGGTCACAAGTGATTTGAAAAGAGGAACTTTGTAAAAAGGACATTGAAAGGCAAAAACAAGGGAGTGAAGTTTCTCCAAAAAGCTTGGGGGTTATTTAAAACCATGGTAATAGAAGCTCCATTAACATGTATTCCACAACAGATCAGAAAAGGTACACTGGGGCCAAGAAGATTAACAAGCAGAGTCAGACTGGTTAATGAGCAGTCCCTCCCATCAAACACCTCCACCACCTCTCCCCCCCCCAAAAAAAATATCTGAAGCAGGGGATTTCCCAGTGCTGTTAACAAAGCATTTTACCTGTGGCCAAATAGATGATGTGAAAAAGCATCTCCTTGCCTTGGACCACATCCACCACCACGTGGGAAAAACGGCTGTTGTCTTCCATGAAGTAAGGAAAGGGTGAGATGGGCTGGATCACTTCATGCATCAAAATAAATTTCTGGGCATCTTGGAGATTCCTCTCTGTCAGATTCAGATATGCGCCCTGGTCCATGGTGCCACACTGAAAAGGCATAGGTTTTCTACTATTGTCATAATAAAAGATTCAAACCCTTCATATCCCTAGATAAGAGAATCCCCAAGCTAGTTCATACATAAATTTGTGCAGTAATGACTGGTCATTGAGCTACACAATGTACTTCAAAGAAAAATGTTTTTCCACATTGGCAAGTCATTCATACTTCCTCTGCAAATATATGACAAAATAAATATAGCAAATAATACAATTAAGGGCAATGAAAGAAAAAAGGCAGGAGGCGGCTTTTTTGGTGGCCATATACATGTATCCCAAATATATGGGAAGAGAATGTAGGGTTTTGACAGATGCCTCCTCCTGCAGCTGCAGCAGCAACTCTTCAAGGGCCCTCTTCTCTGCCATGGGGCCTTGCCTGAGACAAAAGCCAGGGTGGGACAGGAAATTCCTTGCCAAGCTCCATCTTGCCAGACCGAAGAGCGCTGGCCGGAGGCAGACCGTCTTGCTGTGTTCTCTCAGGCTGATTAGGAAGAGGATGACCTACATATCCTCAAATTCCAAAGGGTCTAAAATCATGCTCAGGTTGAGGGTAGATTGTCTACATGTCTACCACACCACCTTTCTCCTGCCTGTACAAAGTTGCCTCCTTCCTTTCCACACAAGAGGCATGCAGAGGAGGGTAACAAGCAGAAATAATTGTTTTCCCCCCTCCTGTTGAGCAACCTCAAGGTTTCCCTGCCTTCATGTTGCCTCTGGCACTTGTAATTAACAGCCAATTAGTCACTGATGACTCTGATGGCTCAGATAGGACATCTTCCTTTTTTATTTTTCAAAACTGTTACTGGTGAGTTAGTTTAAAGTTATTTTTTTAAGAATAAAATGCTGCATGTGGTTACATTTAAGCAATCTTTTCTTTTTTTAAAAAAACCAACAACCTACTTTAAAGAACAAAATCAAGTTGTGACGTTGGTCTGAGGAGGGGTGGGGTTCATGATGTCATAAGGCAGCAGCCAACCCACAGTTTGTCTGAAACAAGACAACTGTTTCATAAAATAAAGTCTTTAAGCTCTCTTTGGCTTTTAATACTCAATCATTTTGTTCTTTAAATGAGGACGACATCTGAAGGGGAGAAATTATCCAGTTCTGTATCCACTTGTGACTTCACTTGTGTTTGGACAGAATAATTTTGTCTCCATAGAGATGAAGTTGGGGAGAACTTGCTAAAACCTCCATAATAAAAACTGGCATTCTGCGTTTGCACACTGCCTACCCAGATTCAATGATATTTTTCTAAGGACATTCAAAGAGTACCATGTCCTTTCAAAGTTTTTCTTGCATTCCTGAGTGGGGGCTGGGAGCATAGGCGCCGACCCCATGGGGCTTGAGGGGGCTCGAGCCCCCTCAAAAAAATTTTTGGGGGGGCTCAGCCCCCCCAATAATCTCGGGCGCCGGGGGTGGGGGCTCCTGCCTCGCTGCTTCGCAGCACCACCGCCACTGCCAAGGCACTGCCGGGGGGAATTTCCTTCCTCCTGGCGGTTTCAGCCCCCGCGAGAACAGGGGAATCCCGACTGGCCACACCTCCCAGCCAGCCAATCGGCTGGCTGGGGGGGCGTGGCTTGCCCTATTTAGGGCCGGAGCCACTTTATTTGCATATTCATGAGCTTATTTATTATTCATGAGCTTTCCCGGGCCCCCCCAATATTTTTTATAAGTCCGCGTCCCTGGCTGGGAGACACTTGCAGAGAAAGAGTTGTACTACTGGTCTCATCAAGCCTCATTCTATTGCTCTTAACCTTCCTTAGAGCAGTGTTTCCCAACCGGTGTTCCGCGGCACACTAGTGTGCCGCCAGACGTTGCCTGGTGTGCCGTGGGAGGGAGGCGGGCGAGTCGAGAGGCGGGGCGGCGGCGGCGAGGAGAGGCCGCCCAGCGCGGGGCTCTCGCCGTCTGCCTGCCTGGCTGCCTGCCTGACGCGCAAACCCCCGGCGCAGGCGCCCCGCTTGTTGACACGGGAGGGGAGGGGGGAGAGGAAACGCTGCTGGTGCCGCTGCTCCTCGGCGGCGGCTCCTCCTCTCAGCCCGCCCTGCCTATATTTGCGCCAATCCCCGTCCACTAAAGCATTCGCGCCTCCCAATGGGAAGCCTTGCCGGGCGGCGGGCGCTGCTGCCTGAGAGTTCTGAAGCCACGCCCACTTTCCCAGAGACTGGCGGTTCTGAGGGATCCAGGGCAGGGCCGGCGCGCACACGCGCTTCTTGCTGCCCGGGCGCTTGCTCTAATCCCGCCTTCCCTGGGAGGGAGGGACGGCGGTGGCCGCGAGCGTCCGGGGCGGGGCGCGCGCTGGCTCTCCCTGGCGGCCCCCGTGCCTGGCGTTCTATCAGTGCGCCTCCTCTCTCTTTCCCCACCCATCCTCCACGTGCTGCGTTCTAAACCGGAGTTAGAAGCGAATTAGAACACGCCCCCCGTGTGTGGTGTGTTTTTTTTGCTGCTTCTCTTTTTTTAGGGCTTTTTGGCGGCTTTTGGGACGGCGTCGAGGGGTGGCGCCCACGCTCCTTGTGCGCCCGCCCCGGAGGCTCGCCCGCGCGGTAGTGCTAGAGGAGGAGAGAGGTGGGCATGGCGGCTGTTTTGGAGCTGTTGCTGCAGGACGAAGTGGCAGCCAGCGCTGTCGTGCGGTGGCTGAAGGCGAGCCAGAGCCCCTGCGCCGTGGAGGTAAAACACGCAGCGCCGCCCTTGCTTCACCCAGCCCTCGGTTCGAGCGGGAAGTATCCGGGAAAACGGAGTTGATGCCGGCCTTCAAATCTCTGCGCTCCAAAAGGGAGGTGGGAGGGGAAAAAAACAGGTCGACCACTTGAGGTTTCCTCCTCTGGCGGGATGCTAAGTGGGAAATTGCAGCCTTCAGGCCTGCGCTATGTGAACTCCTGAAGGGCTCTTGCGGTAGCTTTTCGGGAGCCCAGGTGTATATATGTGCCCCCCTGAGGGAGCCCTTCACTGAACCTGAGAACCCTGCTGTGGAGTTGGTGGGACTGAGTTGCTGTGCGCCCTTACGAATCCTTCCCAAATGCAGCTTTAATGATTCAGAAACAAGACCTACAGAATTCGTTGGAAGTTACTATTTTTTTATTTTTTTTTTACATAAGTAAAAAGTGACCTTTCCCCATCTGGCATGGTGGTGTGCCTCGAGATTTTTTTCATGAAACAAGTGTGCCTTTGCCCAAAAAAGGTTGGGAAACACTGCCTTAGAGGCTTCTCCAAAGCAGGAATTTCCAAGATTACCTCATGATTTTAGGTGACTTTTGATGGCAATTCTAACCCCAGGTCTTATCAACTTTGGCCACTGTTTTACCAATCCAAGACTTCCCAACCGGACACCCAGTGTATATAAGAAGCAGATCCTGAAAGGGCCACGAGTAGGCAAACTAAGGCCCGTGGGCCAGATCCGGCGCAATTGCCTTCTCAATCTGGCCCACAGACGGTCCAGGAATCAGCGTGTTTTTACATGAGTACAATGTGTACTTTTATTTAAAATGCATCTCTGGGTTATTTGAGAGGCATTGGTATTCGTTCATATTTTTTTCCACAATATAGTCCAACTCCCCACAAGGTCTGAGGGACAGTGGACCGGCCCCTTGCTGAAAAAGTCTGCTGACCCTGTGCTAGGCAGTGCTTTTTTTCAGGGGGTACTCAAGTGTACACAGTCCTGGCACCTCTTTTTTGTTGTCAAAAGTGTGGCACTTAGTGTAGCAACTTCATGGTGAGTGAAGTTTTTCTAGAAAAAAGCACTGCTGATAGAGCTATGCCACAACTTGACCCATTTAAACCTTTGGGGTCAAAAATAGTGCTTTTGGTGAGACAGAGCTTTTTTCTTCAGTTGTGAGCATGTTCACCCCTTCCCAACCCATTAACTATAATTGTTTCTCTGATTTTCTGTTACTTTGGATTGATTTTTTATTTAAACGTGTTTTCTTCCTGAGGACTGTTTTGAGGCTCTTAAATATACATATATTGTTTTATTGGCTTCAAAGCTTAGCTCTAAAGAGAACTACACAACATTGCAACTTTTCAAACAGATTCTATTGAAAATTAATGGATTTGGTTCCTGACCTCAACTCAGGATAAGTATGCAAAACAAGAACATGGCAAGTACACTGATGGAGAAGAGTGGCTCCTCTTTTTAGGGCCATTTGTATGCACCCACACGGATGTCAATGTGTGACACATGTCACTCAAAATACCCAAATGAAGCTGTTTTTTAGCAGCATGTTATCATTAGAGGTGTACATCAATGCATGGTAAGGACAGAGATCACAACTGCAGTTGAACAGAAATATTTCCCTGTAGTCATAATGAGTACAGGGCTATCTCCACTCTTGCAAAACAACTAATCCCGTTTTAAATATCATTTTTATAAATTTATTCCCCCTTATTTTTGATCTCTGGAGTACACTATAGTTCAGAGTTAAAACTGGATACACATTTCCAATTTAATGAAAAGATTTACTTGCAGGGTATTAAGGGTAATTAATATAACTAATGAATAAACTGAAGTGATGCAAACCAGTAGTTTTTGCTGCTCTAATCTTGCTCCCCTGATCACATACTCCATAATGCCCAAGTTGAAACATGGCAAAATCACCAACCCTCAGGGTGGTCACCTGCCATGTGTGATGTGCTACTTTGGGTGTGCTTCCTTCTTAGTGCAGAAATGCCCTCAGTGATCTCTGAGGATGGGACATTCTGGAGCTTGTTTGCATCAGGTGATAACATATCATTCATTCAACCAATGTAGAGGCACGGAAGATAATTACAAGACCTCAGAGGATGCTGCTTGGAAGGCCATTTGCTTAGAGCCTCACAGAATATTCATCCATTTATCACTGTACACTAACACACACTCTCAAGTCACATTAGTGGGAATGATGGCTCGATTTGCTCATGTTTTATTCAGTCCATAGCCACATTGCCCATGACAATGGTCTGCTTTATTCCCTGGTCTAGATTAATGTCACCCATTACCAAGTGGCTGCTTAGGAAGATTTCTGCCCATTGGCTCAAAGTGAGGTTGGGCAGAACCACCTTCTGGTGAACCCTCACAGGGGCATTTCCTATAGCAATTTAGAGAGAGCTTCTTCCTAATCATCCCATCATGACAAGGAAACTGGAAGTATGCTGGGCTGACACACAACAATCCGCCCATCATCTCAGCTACTTTTTAAAATGCAATATCAGTTTAAAGACAATTCATATGATTCAGTACCTCCCCCCTGCCCCCACCCATTTCCCTCCAAGTACCTGAAAGTTGGGGTTAGGGTTGGGGTAAGGCAGCCAAGCAGAGCGGGAGTTCTCTTGGAACTTAAATGGCCCACTGAAGACCTGAGTTATTGCAGTCATGTTGAATACACAAACGGCTGAAACTGCTATGCTGTTCCTTAAAAAAGAAGAAGAAACACACACAAGCAACACCACAGACAAACAAAAGATGAAGTACTTCAAGCAGACTGAAATACAACTCTTTCCCTTCATAGCTATAAAAGGGCACTGCTAGCATGCTAACAAAGAGGTGGGAAACCCAAGGTCCTCCTTGTGCTGCTGGACTACAGCTCCTGATCAACAGCTGGTTGGCAGATGCTGATGTGGGATGGAGTCCAATGATATCTGAAGGGCCACAGGCCACCCCTATGCTAATAGCCACATGTAATTCATCTGTGAAAGAAAGAGGCAAGAATGGTGTGGTTTGCTCATTGTCAATTTAGGGGTTGGCAGGGAGAAAAGGCATACTTGCAGGTGCAACATCTTACTTCATTTGTTTGTCCAAACCCCTCAAAATTCTGGATCTAAGGAGGGCGGAAAGCTCTCTCTACTTATCCAGGATTTTTTTAAACAACTATCACCCACTAACATAAATTGAAATAATGAAATCTGCTACTCTGAAGCTAATAAAAAACTGTCTAGGTGGTGTGTTGTTCGATAAGAGATTGAGTGTTTGGGGGGGGGAGGCTCGTTTAATTTCATTTTACACAGGTTGTACAATGACAATAAAGGTGTTGTTGCTGTTGTTGTTGTTGTTGTTGTTGTCGTCTTCCATTTAGTTCCAGCGTCACTGCAGAACAGCATCTCTATGCTTCTTGACTGACTAGCCTGTGTGTATCTTAAAACACATTAAACATTTGTTTAAGATCATCATTGCCCTGGGTCGGCTAATTACCCAAAGGTTCTGCCCTCCAGGGAAAGAGATGGCACAATGCAGAGCTGCTAAGCAGGAGCGCTTTCAGTTGAGTGGCTCAGATACAGGAGCAAATTACAAGCTGGTGCTGTCAGAAAAGCACAAGGAAAACTAGCTCAGCAGAACAGCAGATTGAATTGGAAGTTTTAAGAATATTGATAAAAAGTTTAGCTGAAGCAAGATAAAAGATCTTCAGTGCTGAGTGGAAGCAGATATGGAAGTACTTCAACTAAATAATTCATGGGGTAAAACACCAGCATTATATTTCTTTCTAAGAAAAGATGTAGACAGGAGTTGGTAGACTTTTACACAAAACATTCTGTTTAAGTGAAACTGTTAGAGTGATCCTACTCCCTAAAACAAGTATTCCACTACCAACACTGGGGCTACCACAACTACCAGAAAGAAGTTGATTTATATAAATTGCATTGGCTTCCAATTCAATTCATCAAGTTGTTCATTGCCTTTAAAGCCCCTCCCCCCAACCCCCAACTTAGGACCAAACTTATTTAAAGGACTGTCTTCTCCTGCATGACCTTGCCTGGACACTCAGATCTTGGAGGACGGTCCTGTTATTACAGAAAAGGTCCTGTGCTGCATTCTCAGCAGGTGAAGCTCAGCTGGTGGGAACAGAGGACGAGGTCTTCTCCTTTGCAGGCTCTGGAACTCTGCACCCTGCCTTGAGAGGCCCCCATGGGTCCTCCTTGATGACATCTGAACAGTATTGCTCTTTAGGGCCTTTGGCCTGTTATCAACTGCTCTCCCTCACTACATGATATTGATGCTGCGCTGTGGTGACTATAGGTGTTTCCTTGCCTGCTTGTTTTTATGCTTCTTTTGTTTTTAAAAAAGGATCTCATGATTGTTTTTAATGGACTTGTTAGTAGCACTGAAGATTCTTAATGAAGCCGAAAGCACAGGAGACAAATATTTCAATTAATAAATAACTGCTCCCTTAGACATATAATCACAGACTCATAGAATTGCAGAGTTGGAAGGGACCCCTGCGGTCATCTAGTCCAACCCTGCAATGAGGGGATCTCAACTAGATCATACATAACAGGTGGCCATCCAATCTCTGCTTAAAACTCCTTTCAAGGAAGGAAGTTTCCATTTAGTTGTGTTAATCTAAAAACTCCATCAACAAAAGTTTTCTGGTTTGAGAAGTTTGCCTGCCCTCAGGTACCTGCACTTCTATAAGCAATGGATGGATGTATTTCCGTCAACACTTCCTATTCCGTTCCTCCAAGAGCCCTTGTCTCAGAATTTGTTCAGTATCAATTCTATTTCCCAGGAGGAACAGGCAGCACAACTCTTTTCTCTAATTCATTCAGAATATTCTAGAAATAAAAATATTTCATAAACTACATACATATTAGTGGTAAAGATCCCGTAGATTAAGTCCAGTTCTGGCAGGAAGAACGTACTCTGTAATTCATTGTAGTAAAATGGGATTTCTCCAGGGCGGGAGCAGTTCAAACGAGCTTTCATGAAGGTGGTCCAGGTGTCCTCCAGCAGGAACCTGCCTCCAATGTCATTCTTGCATACTCGAGCAGCTCGGGAAAAGACTATTTTGCCACAGTCATACTCCACTGCGTTCTCTCGGAAGAAGAAATAGACGAAGTTCCCAATGTCATAAGAAGACACAAAATTTGGTTCTGAAATGCATCGATAGACAAAATATCAGAAAACAACTATTTTCAAAAGGAGAAACAAATGTTACACTGAACTGCTGTTGCTGTTTAAAAGCCACATCTACTTGTGATTGTGACAGTACCTATCTGTACATTTAAATTATTGATGTTTTATTTATTATTTTATCCCTGTTTAGGGAAGCTTTTAATGTTCAATGCATTATTGTATTTTAATATTTTGTTGGAAGCCGCCCAGAGTGGTTGGGAAGCCCAGCCAGATGGGCGGGGTATAAATAAATTGTTATTGTTATTGCTATTGTTGTTGTTATATCCTGCCCTTCCTCCTAAAGAAGCCTAGGGCATGACTTGAGAGTATTCCAGCCAGGTGGTGCTTACTCCTCCACGCTCAGCTGCCTTACAGACACCTGCTCTTTTAACTGGTTCCATCCATTCACTCTTCAGGTCCTTCCTTTGGAAAGGTCTTCCGCTGAGTCTTTTAGTCCTCATCCCCAATTGTAATCAAGCTGAAGCACAGTTGATGCATTTGTACACATTCGTCCCTTGCCATCTTTGTCTCTCTCACCATGTTGAATGAATGAATGAATTTATTAATACGGTCACAGACCAGCGTCAACACACACAATATCACAGATCATAAAAAATATCAGAAATACAAGGGACAATATGAATATAACAAGGATTTAAATATAAAAATTAAAATTAATTGTTAGCGTGCCCCCTGTAATTAACATTTAGGGATTTGGTCATTATGGGATACCACTTGCTTCCTGCGATTGATTGCAGACGCACAGAATTTAGCTACATTTAATGTAGTCTTGGGATTCTTGTCCTCTAGCAGTAGTTTTAAACTATGGTATTCCGATTCTTTCCTGGACTTATGCAAAACAGGTGTAATAAAAGTCAAACGTATATCCTCATAAAGACGACAACGTAATAATACATGTGAAGCAGTTTCAACTTCCAACGAGCCACAAGGACAGACCCGTGCTGTGTATGGTTTACCCTCAAATCTGCCCTGAAGTAAGGCAGAAGGGAGAACGTTAAATCTGGCGAGGGTAAAAGACCGTCTGTATTTGGGTACCTGAAGACCTGACAGATAGTTAGCTGGAGAGAAACCTCTCCCATGGTCCCTTATTGCTGGATGTTTGATCATTTCGCTCATGTGGCATTGTAATTCTACGTCCCAGATACGCTGGCGAATTGTAGTCCTAGCTTTCTCGAAGCCTGTCGCTATCAGGGTCTGCTGTGGGATCCCCAAGCCTTTAAGTTTTTCCAGCAGTGTAGCCTTCCATCTGGATTGGTAGGTATTCCTCCATTTCCAGTTCCTTGGGGATCAAAGCCTGTCTTTTGTGCTTTTGCTCACTCATCTCTGTAAATTGCCATGTGCATTAAAATAATAGCAATGAATTTAATGATGCAGTCCAAAGACTGAGAAGGAGTCCATGTGCCAAGGATCTTTATAGCTGACAGTGCAGGAGACTGAACCCATGACCTTCTGCTCACAAAGCAAGCCCTCTGCGACTGAGCTGTGGACGTGTCCCTGCCTCTTCTTACACTCTCTCACCTCCTCTCTATGTTTTCCTCTCCTTTTCCTCCCCACTCACCCCCTCCTTCCATGCTGAACTGCCAACTTTAAACCATCAGTGGTTGAAGACTTTCCCAGAGTCCGGAGAAACAGGCAACAACCTTTTCAAAAGCACCAAGAAAGGACTTGTGCTCCTTCAGAACAATATTTACTCACGTAAACAACCAGTTGTCTCTGCACTCACCATTAAGCCACTTAGAGTTGTACTGTGCAGTCCGGAGAGGAGGAAACACCCCCAAGCTGCGATAAATTGCAGGATCCCTTCCTGGGAAGTCCATGACTGTTGCTGCATATAGCTCACCAGTGCTTGCAAGCAGAGCGGTGGAGTTGTGCTGGGGGCTGTATGGACAGCGAGCCATGCCGCTGATCTGATCATGCGTCTCTTCCAGGTTATTTAGCTGCAGCGGAGGGAATTAAAACCATATTACTGAGCAGGAAACCATAAATCAATCTACAACATTACGTTCCACAACAGAGCGTGCATCTCTCAGTCCTCTCACACAGAGCAACAACCACTTTCTAGCTCTGTGGTGAGTATCTGAAAACAGAAGGCGGCACTCCCACTTGCACACTTTGCAATCGAAAGAAATCTAATAGAAAATCACTAGCATTAACTCTAATTGCATTGCATGGTCTCCCTGTTCATGATACCATCTGTGCATCAAATTCAAACAGTAAGAATGCAAAGAAAGGTGTTCTAAAAGGAACCTGCCCCATTAACTGGAGTACACTAATCTCAGCAGCACTGTGGGACTAGCCTGTTTCCAGAGTTAACCCAGCAGAGATATGATGGGATATGGTTCTCTTTTGCTAGAATTCTTTTGCTTTCATTACCAGCCTCAAGCCTTCAGGATACAAGCAGCTTATAAATGAATACATAAATGAGCACAAAAATAAATAATTTCTAGCAGAAAATAAAACCAGGGGCAGAGTGATAGATCTCTTGGTGTAGGAGGCTCTGCCATCAAACATGCATCCAGAATCTATGTTCTGCTATGTTATTTTTCTTCCCAAGTTCTAGACATTGCTCAAAGCGAGAGGCACAGTAGTGTAGGAAGCCACCAAAGGACTTTTTTTAAAGCTCCAAAAAAATTACATGTTGCATTTAATATGGGATTTCTAGTGGATCCAGGGACTAGCAAATCATCACAGGTACTGAAGGTATGAGAGGAGATGCTATACTGGGCCATCCTTAGAGTACTTATTTTTCTACTCTTGCTTCATGCCTGTCAATTTTCTGACTTCTGCAACATATTCAGACAAAATATGACTATGCACTTTTCAACCTGATACCTAAAAACATTTGCCTTGTTAACTGCCAGTCCTGTACAGACATTCTGGATACTTACAACATGGTTGTTGGATCAACTAACTGCTCTTACTTAATATCCTCACAGGTATATAGAAAGAACCGCACACAATTCTACTCCTTGTCTCTGAGCGGGTATAATTCTGCAAGGCATATGCACATCATGACCAAAAGGTTTATATTGTGCTTCTAGATAGCATAAAGACTCCATTTGGTTGCAAGCCAAAATGACTTAATTGTGATAGAAACAAACTATAAATACAGGAACTTCAAAAAGGGAAATCTTAATTTAAATTGGCCTTATTTCTCGATTATTATTTTAAAATAATTTAAATTTGCTTAATTTAAATTAACTAATTCTGACAACAATCAAACTCAGTGTCCTTCTCACCATCTCAACAGAACAAAATTTCAGTCCCTTTCCCTTTACATAACTCACATAAAGACTCCTCCCCACGACTCATGAAACTCAGTGCTGGCTTGCAGGCTGAGGCTTAAGTGGGGTTGTAACCAACTGCACGGCCAGGGAAGGGGTTGATAATAATAAAAATGAAATTGCATGAATAGTATTCAGGTTAGCCCCAATATTAAAGCAAGCTCTCCCACAGATTTCATCTAATTTCAACCTATGAATTGCCATGAACAGCATCAGCTAAGAAACCTCCAGATATTTCCAGTTACCTCTGCATCTTTCCTCCAGCTGGCAGCAATAATCATGACTGCTTACCTACTTTATTTGTTTCTATTTATTATATTTTGTTCTATTTCTATAGAAGCAATGCCTCCCTTTTTATGGATGCACATGTTGCAGCTACAGCAAAGCGGCATTTTTCCACCTCTGGCGTGCTAAGCAGCTGGTCCCTTACCTTTCCCGCCCCAACCTGGCCACAGTGATCCATGTGACGGTCACCTCCAGGCTTGATTATTGTAACTCGCTCTACGTGGGGCTGCCCTTGAAGCTGACCCAGAAACTCCAGCGGGTGCAGAATGCTGCGGCGAGGCTCCTTATGGGGCTCTCGCCACGGGATCACATTCATTCAGTGTTTTACCAGCTGCACTGGCTCCCGGTGGAGTACAGGATCAGGTTTAGGGTGCTGGTTTTAACCTTTAAAGCCCTATATGGCCTAGGACCCTCGTACCTACGGGACCGCCTCTCCTGGTATGTCCCACAGAGGACCCTATACGGTCCACAAAGAATAACATCTTGGAGGTCCCGGGTCTCAAGGAGGTTAGACCAGGGCCAGAGCCTTTTCAGCTGTGGCCCCAGCCTGGTGGAATGCTCTGTCACAAGAGACATCTTTCCGCAGGGCCTGCAAGACGGAGCTGTTCTGCCGAGCCTTTGGTCTGGGCCCAGTCTGACCCCCTTCTTTCAATGGGACCCTGTATGTAAGTGGCCTCCTTGGCTCTTTCTATCGGCCCATATGGGACCAGCACGGGTGGCTGGGCCTGGTGAACTTTTAATTTGATTTTGATTTTAAATGTGATTTCGAATTGTATTTTAACTAATCATTTGATTTTGTGTTTTTAATGTATTAATATATTTGGTGTTAGCCACCATGAGCCCGGTCTTGGCCGGGGAGGGCGGGGTATAAATAATAATAATAATATTTCAAATTAACTTTTGTATTGCCTCCTATCTTGGAAACTGTAGTTTGGTACACGTGCTGAAAATCTTCTCTTAACTTGCCAACAGGACCAGAGCCTAGCATGTAAAGAACTGCAAAAAGGGCCTCAGGTGGATCTCCCCAGAAAGGGCGTTCTCCCAGGCAGCCCTAGCACCCTTCCACCCCACACAATCCCAGTATCCAGGGCTCCCTGAGAAGAAGGAATGAGTTCTGATCCAGTTTAATTCTGTATTGTGGATTTGTCCATATTCTTACCGTCCGATTAGTGCAAATGGGCGTAAACGCATTAGTTCCACATGCAAAGAGTCTGTCCCCACCAATGAGAAGGACACGGATATAATTCTGGCACTCTTCCTAACATCAAAAGAGAAAGAGAAAACAGGATCATCAATGTCCCATAAGCAGAGTATGCTAAGCAAAACCTGACCTGCTCTTCAGTATCCTATGGTATGAAACTATGTATGGAAAAAAAAACAGATAAACTATACCTGAAGGTGTGTGCAGATTATATTTACAATCAATTCCTAATTACAAGAAACCCATTGATCCTTTTGAGAAGCTCTGCTGCATCACTTTCTCTATGCTTTGTTGTAGCAGTTGACTCAACTGTGGCAAGGGCCACTAAAAAATTAATGCAAGTAATTCAGGCTCTTTTTTCCTCCAACCTCCAACAAACAATGCAGTACTCCATTCTTTGCTGTATTGCACATTGAATTTTCTCATCCTAAAATGTCACAATGGTCCTCTCTAATTCTACGATTCCTTTCTTTACATGCGCTCACATTTTGCACCCTGTAACTCTTCCAGGCATTTTAGATTTGGTATAACTCTTTGGGGCCATACTATCTCAGGTTCATAAAGGAAGCTGAAAGAGGGAGGGAGGGGGAGGGAGAAAGGGAGTATTGTGGCAAACTCAGTTATTGATATGTGGGGGTAATTTCAGAGGAACAGGCACTGCACCATCCACACCTGGCGATGCAGAAACTGTCAAACATTCGTAGAGTTGGTCAAAGGAATCAATCAATCTCCAAGTTTTTCTGCCTCTTTCAAAAGTATGATTCAAGGGTGCCTTGGCTGTGACTGTGCTCATAAATGTGCAGCTGGACATTTTTGTGGAGGTCAGCTTGTCCATACAAGAACTGTATGCGTTGTGGGCAATGCCAAGGCAACCCTTTGTGGTCTATATATGCAGCTACCATTATATGTGGCATGAAACAGACCGACTGCAGTCACAGAATGCATTCAGCCCATAGCTTTGGGGTATGCAGAACAAAGAGTATTCAGATTTCTACCTTGAAGTACTATCTCAAGGGGAATTATGGATTTTATAAGATTTGTAAACGCCAAATAATCTCTGGTGTCTGTACTATATGTTGTCATGCAAGCAGGAAACAAATTTGGTAAGGCTTGTTTCTATTTTCATAGTCCTAGTGTTTTAAAATTGCATCTGCAGATTTTTAAACCTCCAGCCTGACTTTTTCCAGAAGTAAGAATGCATTATGATTGGTTGTTATAACTGCAAAGATATGCTTCCTGCTTTTATCACTCTACCCCCCTCAAAGGACTGAATTTGGAAACAACAACAAGGGTCTATTTGCTGTACCATTCAGGTGCTTCCAGCACCCCAGAAAGTCTGCAGACAAGGCTGAGTGAAATTCAGTCTGGTTACCGACTTTGTCCCAGGACCAAAGAACAAAGCCTAAGGAGTTCACTGTAACTCAAAAACATGCACCCAACATGGTAAACACTAGCAGGTTCCCATAATAATATAGCTCCAACTGTTCTGCTGTGGTGTGAGAGCAACCACAGTACAAAGACTCTTGAGTGGGACTTTAAGCATGCATGCACAAAGGCGAACCCTCCAGTTCCTAAGCCTGCCAAGTGTCCATGCACTGGATGCAATATCTGCATGAGGTTTGTGTGTGTGGGTCCAAACTGGAGTTAGCTCACATAGGACACTGCACAAATGTGCAATCCAGTAAGCAGATCCCAACAGGTCTTTAGGCAGGAAAGATGCACACACTGAGCAGTGTGGTCTTGTTCCTTCACTATGTACAGATGCTAACTTGATTAGAACCTTGCTTGAATGAGTCTGCAATCCTGTGAACATTTTCAAGTAAACATGCATAGGCACAAGTGGACAGATGAACTTTCTCACTCGGATCTAGGAAATTAATTATTTAAGAAGGAGCTACTCACCTTTGATTTGCCTTTACTGTAACAAGCCTTTGTAGTAGCTTCATCACAAGACCACTCCACTCCCTAGCACACAGAAAGAAAGAAAGATTAGATGCAGAAAACAACAAGCAAAATGCCCAGGAGCAAGCTTAGAGATCGTGTGTTTCCACTGAAATAAACAACAATGATTTAAAATTGCATGGGAGAGAAAATATAATGGCTGTATTTGGGCATCACGGTAAACCATAAATCATGGCTTGCTGGGCACGAGTGAATCATGCCTGTTTCGCTTCTCCACGCTAGCACTGGGAGCAAGCAAACCGCAAGCCCTGGCTCAGCATTGCTTCTGAACCAGAAGTCGTGGGTTGGTTTGCTCCAGATGATGGTAACTTACAGTTTGCTTTTGGCTTAGCAATCATGGTGTGCTTCTTCTGCATGCAAGAGGCAAGGAGTGAAGCAAGTAAATTCATTCACGCACAGGATGACGAAAGACCAAAATATAACTATAGAGAAATTAATTCAAGGCCACACGTAGCCACATTTGTTCACCTGTTTCCCTTGTTCATGTATGAGGTTTGGCTGGGGTGGGTGTGGGGTTCAGGGTCTTGTTTCAACATCAAAACCCTTAATGTGCTGAACAAGCACATTAAGAAATAAACATGTTTTTTATTATTTAGAATGGCCAAAATGTTTACGTGTTTATTTAAAAAATCTGTATGCTGCCATTCACCAAATGATTTCAAGACAGTCCAGGACAGCATACTAAAAACCATGAAATACTATAAATATCAAATAAACACCATAAGGGATTAAAACAAAACATGAGGATGCAGGATGGATAAAGATGCACATTAAAATCAAAGACATTTTAAAGACCCAGGTGGAAAAAAGCAGTACCTTGAAAGCCAAGGAGATGACCGCAATTTAGGTCCCAGGCTATATAGGGCATTGCTGGGAAACCTCCAACGGGTCATTTCCCCCAAACCACATCCCCCTGCTCTACATCTGACATCATATAAGGTAAGGCTCCCTGTTGAAAGCAGAATTTGCAGGAGCCTCTGATCAGCTGATGCCTGCAAATCTTTGTATCTTTGCCTTGCAGTATATTGATTTCTGCAGTACTGCTGTTGAAGTCACAGAGTAGGCCATTTACCTCCCTGTTCTATGGACAACCTTTGAACATTCATTCCCTGCATTCCTTGCAACCAAGTCAGTGTTCATGTGAACCTAACCAGTGGGGTGTCATAGTTAGAGCACCAAACGAGGACTGAGGAGAACGGTGTTCAATTCTCTCTCTCCTGAACCATGAAGCTCACTGGGTACCTTTGGAGCAGCCAGCAACACTCACCCCACTTCACTGGGTTGTGAGGATAAGATAGGGAGAAGATAGGATGTGTTGCCCGGAGGATATAAATATTATATTTATATTTATATATTTATTTTCAGGGATTCATTTTCCTCTCTAAAAAACCTTACACTATTCAGTCAGATATTAAAAGTACATAAAATTAGTATATTATTAATTATTTATCATTAATGCATTATTAATGTATCATTCTAAATGATTAGAACTTCCAAATTATACTAAAGATTATTATACTAATAATCCAAATTATACTAAATCCCTATGTGGGACTGATATACCACTGTACTGCTCCAAAGGGTTCCTCCCTTGACAAAGGGGAGGGTTGAAGGAAGAGTTGAAGTCATCAATTCTTTGTCTGCTGAGGGACCAGTTTCCATGGAGACACAGCCGTCAGCTGAGACAGACTGGAAGAGGGAGGGAGACCCACAAGATGCTTTTCCTTTCCAGGCATGGGCTGGAAATCTGTAGAACCTTTGCAAGTTTTCACTTGACTTGGCTAGTGCAATTGCCTCTACCTGACTTCAGCACCCCTACAATTGGCACAGAAACTAGAGCTGTGACTTCTTGATTCTTGTTTAAATAAATTCCCAAAGCCAAGAATCAACACTTGGCAGGTAGCATCATGCAAGCAGATTTTCTTGGAACCTGTATTTAGTTTGCTGTGAAATAATAGGCGGGGGGGTGGGGGAGTATTTAACAGCAGGGATAATAGCTCAAAGATAATGTGATTTTCCAAACTTTCCACTGTCAAAGAACCTTGTTCACATTGACTCGCATGCAAAGTAATCAAGCTGTGATTGTCCCATGTGTTGGAGAAACTGCCCCATAATATTCCACATTTCAGAAGGAATTGGTCCTGATTTATCACTGCATCTGAAAGAAACTCATTGATGTGCTTCATTGTAAGTCTGGGAAAGTGTTTCCTGGGGTTTGGAGAGGGCTCGCCCTGAAATGTCAGCACATCATTTTTAAAAAGTCACCTTGAATCAGGGAGGGGAATAGCAAATTCTGGAAGCATATTAAAAGCAGACTTTTGGATAAAAGTCAACAAATTCACGGTTGCGGGTTCGTCGGGGAAGGAGTAAGACGTGTACCTTGCGGCTGACAGGAGCGGAATTGTTTTTAAAGGCTCCGTTCCTGAAAGTGTAAAAAAGTAAAGGGAAATGGCCAAGCATACCAAGCAGCATAGCTGTCAAGCGTCCCTTATTTGGCGGGACAGTCCCTTATCCCAGCGCCATGTCCCACTGTTGTCCCTTAGAATCATAGAATCATAGAGTTGGAAGAGACCACAAGGGCCATCGAGTCCAACCCCCTGCCAAGCAGGAAACACCATCAGAGCACTCCTGACATATGGTTGTCAAGCCTCTGCTTAAAGACCTCCAAAGAAGGAGACTCTACCACACTCCTTGGCAGCAAATTCCACTGTCGAACAGCTCTTACTGTCAGGAAGTTCTTCCTAATGTTTAGGCGGAATCTTCTTTCTTGTAGTTTGGATCCATTGCTCCGTGTCCGCTTCTCTGGAGCAGCAGAAAACAACCTTTCTCCCTCCTCTATGTGACTTCCTTTTATATATTTGAACATGGCTATCATATCACCCCTTAACCTCCTCTTCTCCAGGCTAAACATGCCCAGCTCCCTTAGCCGTTCCTCATAAGGCATCGTTTCCAGGCCTTTGACCTTTGACCATTTTGGTTGCCCTTTGACCATTTTGGTTATTGATGATGTCCCTTAAATAAGCTACTGAAGGTAATGGGGCCCTTTCTATGTCCAGCTGTGCTTTGTCAACAACAAATTGTCGCTGTTTTTTGTGTTGAATATATGCTATATGGTAATTTATGGACCTAATGGGTATCTAAAGCCATTTGCACGCAACAAAATATGTATTTTATCAAAGTAATTGTTGATCCCTTATTTTGGCTGCTGATCCCTTATTTTCGAGGCTGCTGGTCCCTTATTTTCAAATCTGTAAGTTGACAGCTATGCCAAGCAGACTGCCCGTACGTCCACTGGTGGCAAAGCTCCACGTAAACAGCTGGCTACCAAACTGCTCGGAAAAGCGCTCCCTCTACTGGTGGAGTCAAGAAACCTCATTGGACAGGCCTGGTACTGTGGCGCTGCGAGAGATTCGTCATTACCAAAAGTCCACGGAACTTTTGATTCGCAAGCTTCCGTTCCAGAGGCTGGTAAGGGAGATGGCTCAAGACTTCAAGACAGACTTGAGGTTCCAGAGTGCAGCCATTGGTGCTCTGCAGGAGCTAGTGAAGCATATCTGGTGGGTCTCTTTGAAGACACGAACCTGTGTGCCATCCATGCCAAGAGAGTCACCATCATGCCCAAAGACATCCAGTTGGCTCGTAGGATATGGGGGGAGAGGGCTTAAGAGGAGGAAGTTTTTATGGTGTTTTGTAGTAAATTCTGTAAAATACTTTGGTTTCAATTTGTGACTTTTTTTTGTATGAAATTGTTTAGAATATGTTACATTTGTACTTACCGTATTTTTTGCCCCATAGGACGCACTTTTTCCCCTCCAAAAATGAAGGGGAAATGTGTGTGCGTCCTATGGGGTGAATGCAGGCTTTCGCTGAAGCCTGGAGAGCAAGAGGGGTCGTTGCGCACCGACCCCTCTCGCTCTCTAGGCTTTGCGCAGATCTCCGCAAGCTGTGGGAGCCCGCGCCGGGCTCCCACGGCTTGCGGAGAGTTGCCTGCATACCGAAGGCGTGCCCAGACTTCACGCGCCCAGACTTTGCGCAGCTCTCCGCAAGGCGCGGGAGCCCGGCGCTGGGCTCCCGCGGCTTGCGGAGAGTTGCCTGTTCTGGGGGCTGGGGTCGGGGGAAGCTCGGGCTTCCCCCGCCCCAGCCCCGCGCCTGGGGGAAAAATAATTTCCCCCCCTTTATTTTCCCCCAAAAAAACTAGGTGCGCCTTATGGGATCCTATAGGGCAAAAAATATGGTAAATCATTCCATCTTTCATTCAGGATGAATGCTAAAATTGACTGCTCACATAAAAACGCAGTGATGTGAGCTTTGTTGCTCAACAGTGACAAGTTGCTAATATGCAGACGGGATAGGTGATCTTTCTTGCTTTTCATGCATGTTTCTGTATGTTAATGACTTGTTGGGTAGCTAAAATTGTAAGGTACTAGAATTGATATAAATGTGTACAGGGTCTTTTTGCAATAAAACTGGTTATAAGGTAAAGGGACCCCTGACCATTAGGTCCAGTTGTGACCGACTCTGGGGTTGGGGCGCTCATCTCGCTCTATAGGCAGAGGGAGCCGGCGTACAGCTTCCGGGTCATGTGGCCAGCATGACTAAGTCGCTTCTGGCGAACCAGAGCAGCGCGCGGAAACGCTGTTTACCTTCCTGCCGGAGCAGTACCTGTTTATCTACTTGCACTTTTCACGTGCTTTCGAACTGCTAGGTTGGCAGGAGCAGGGACCGAGCAACGGGAGATCACCTCGTCGCGGGGATTCGAACCACTGACCTTCTGATTGGCAAGTCCTAGGCTCTGTGGTTTAACCCACAGTGTCACCCGCGTCCCTAAAACTGGTTACAACTTGATCAAAAAAAAAAAAAGGCAACAAATTCTTAATTCAGGGCAACATACAAATAACCAGATTTAAACAATTATTTAATTCTGGTTCTTTTATTTTCTTGATTATGATTACTGGATTATTTATACAGTGGTGCCTCATGATACAGATGCTTCAGGTTCCAGA